TGAGTAGATTTGCTCGGAAACGGTGAAAAATTTGTTCCCTTTTTTGTAGATAAAGTAGGTTTTCTCGGAAACGGTGAGGAATTTTAACTTTTGGGATTTTTCCCAATTTTCCCAAAAAATTTGGAATTGAATGGAAAAACCGCAAGTCTCTACGACCACTCCTTCACCCCAAACATTTCTATGAGTGAGTGAGTGAGTCAGTCAGTGAGTCAGTCGGATTGGGGCTTTATAGGTTCTCGATGATAATGACGCCTTCGCCTTTTTAAGAGATTACAAACTGCGCAGCCAGAGACAGTTTTTGTCCTTGACGCACTCAAGGCGATAGCTTCAGAACTCCCTGAGGGGCCGTCCTTATTTACGTTACACAGTGTAGAACACTTAACTACTCCCTCCTGTACCGCAGCGGCAAGAAGACATCATAGTATTACACACACTGGTAAAACTAAGGCGTAGTATTACGCCTCTTTGAAGCGTACTAAAGGCTGGAACGCCCTGCTTCAAGCGTAGAGTTTGTACGCTTGAAGCCAAGCGCACTCAAGCCAGGTCAGAAATTCTTACGCCCTGCTTCAAGCGTAAAGTCAGTACGCTCAATTTCAAGCTTAAAGAAAAGCTATGCTCAATTTTACAAGCACAGGAGAATGTGCACATTCATCGTCTGAAACCAGCCTCATTTAATTTCAGATAATATCTTACATTAGCCTCATGCATCCTTCATACAATAAATTAACTTTCAAAGAAAATTACAAAATGTATGAAAAGATGTTTGGGGGTCCAAGTCCTATAGGCCTTTAAGACTCCGGAACACTCCAAAAGGTTTAAACCTGGCGCAGTTCTGGCATTCACCTTGAGACACTTACCTTGTAGTGCTATCCATTAATTGTTCGCGGGTTTTGGTTTTAATTTTTATGATTTGTTTCTTAGTCTCAGACCGCGGGCGCGGGTTTTTCATTTTTCCTGAGGGACATGCTAAAGGCCCTCCCCACGGGGGTGGGATCGGGGAGCTCTCGGGAGAGTTCTCCGTGGAGGGAGAAACTCTCCGCCCGACATACACAAGGCGGTGGAACGAGGGAGCGTAGCGGCGCGAGGCGCGAGAGAGAAAAGCAAAGGTACACGTATCGCGAATTCGATTTGGACAGTTGGATTATTACCGAAATACCTCTTAAGATATAGTAAGGTAAGCGTGTGATGACTCTTTTTATTTTTTACTATTTTCGTTCATAACCTTTGAGTTTTTCTCGGATCGCATCCTAGTATCCTAGTCTTTGGACTTGGGACTTCAACCTCTTTCTTTAATGTTCGATAACTAGAACTAAATGTGTTTTTCCAAGACATACTCTTGACAAGCTTTATGTTATCACTGTTCCTTAACGTTGCATTTTTCCTTAATGTGTTTCGATATAGCTAGGTTATGGAATGCACCCTAGGAGGCTTTTCGTACTTAAAAGTATTATTTCCTTTTTGGCTCTGTTTCTAATTCACCCTCTTTATTTTTCTTTCAGACCATGGAACAGAGGTTTAGGGCAGAGAGAAGAAGACAATTAACCAACTAATTCTTCTTCGGAGAAGAATAAGAGATGCTCATGACCCCTTTCGACGTCACTCGGGAGACTTTCATTGCCTCATACAGGCTGACGCAAGATCTTGTTCGTAGTCTTGGGGTTTCCCATTCGTCCACATATTCCTCGAACTACAAGTCCTCTCGCTGTGCCTTTTGGAGATCAAGGTAAGGTGCTTCATTGAAGTTATGTAATGTATTGGATTCTTCCATTGGACGATTGTTTAAATTTCCCCTTATTGATTTTTACTGTTGTGACAGATTTTGGTGTGCTGCATTTTTATGCAACGGGATCATATCAAAGGCCCACAGGGAAGAGTATAGATACTGCAGTAGCGCAGCCAACAGTGTCGGACCACCTTACTGAGGTCACCCTCGCACTAAACCATCCACAGGTGGTCAGTAGACTGATCCAGTTTCCAAGGAATGCTGAGCAAATGAGAGCATGTGTTGCCAGGTAATAATAATTTTTTCCTTAATTTGTAATCCCCAAAAAAAATATGTCTAATCTAGTTTTTGTTTCTCTTTCAGGAATCAATATTTGGGTGGCAGGTTTCCCGGTGCTGTTGGATATACGGATGGAACATTAGTTAAAATTATGAAGCCAACATTAGAAGATAATGTTCAAGCTTACATTGGGCGAAAGTCCTTTGCCAGCATAAATGCATTAGTGGTTAGTGTTTAAATTAAAGTATTTTCCTTAAGTCATTGAGGATTAGTCTTTGACATTAATGTTACTTTCAGACCTGTGACAAACGTTTTTATGTCATGAATATAGTATCCCGTTACCCAGGGGCTACTAATGATTCATACATTTGGGCTAACAGTGCACTTCGGAGGAAGATGATCGAGTTAAACGAGGAGGAACGTTGTTTCCTTTTAGGTAAGGCAATGCTTAAGTTATGCTGTACAGGTTGTCATGATATTCCAGTATATACTCCATTGTTTCCATGTTCCCAAGGTGACTCTGGTTTTCCCTCATGAACCGTGGATGCTCACTCCGTTTGCTCGTGGGGGGGAACCAGATGAGGATACCCCAGAAATGAGATACAACAGGGATTTCTGCAGGGACCGCTGCACTGTGGAGAACACTATTGGGTTGATGAAACAGAGGTTCAGGTATGTTCATCACTCTTATATTTTTATCAAGGCATTTTATATAAATGAAAATTTCTCCTGACCATTGCAGGGCAATTAATGATGAGAGAATTCTTCATTATTCTCCTCTCAAGGCCTGCAGGATCATTGTGGCTGTAGCAGTGTTGCACAATCTCTGCATTTTGGCCCAAGTCCCATACTACCAGTTAAATGCAGATAGAGCTAGAAATGACAACTTTAATGAATGGGAGGGAAAAATTTTTAAATGAACTGGATGAGAATTATTTTGATCTCTTACAGGCAGGAAGGGATGTCCGGCAGAGGGTTGTTGATTATTTGGAACAAATGCGCAATCAGTAAAACTTTTGTTGTAAGCGAGGGGCTAAAAACTTGAATTTTATTTATTGACAGAGTGTTACAGTCTGAAGGAATTTGTGGAATCCTGACACGAAGTCATAGGATCAGTATGAGTTAGACGAACAGCTGCAAACCTATTGTGTTTTTTTTTTAAAAGAAGTATTTTTTTGTTTTGTTTTGCTGCTATGAATTGAGGTGAACAAAGTGTACCCGCACTCTCTTGTAAATATGTATGGATGAGTGTATGAATGTCAGTGTGAGTGTGTCTGAGTAGACTTTTAGTTATCCTTTTTATGTTTTAGCTTGCACTCTGATGTGGTTGGTCGATACTCTGTTGTGTATTTGTATCTGTGCTGTGGAGTTGTTTATTTACTATGTGAACAAATGAAGTATCTTATCTATTTGTCTTCATGAGCCTCCAAAATTACTCGCCTGAACCTATTCATTCTAAGCTCCAGTGATTCCAATCTCTCCTAGAAGCAATCAAATTTAAAGAAAAGTTTAAATAAAACCAAATGCACACAACAAGACAACGTCTCAGTACAAAATTCCACCTCCTGGTAGTCGACATAGGCAGGTCTTTCACTGCTCTGCAAGCAACTGCAACATGTGTACACACACAGCACTGACGAGTCTGCGTTGGGAGGAGAGCTATTTACTTGGAATCTATTTTTCATGGGAGGTGGTTCACGCTTATCATGAGTAGGGATGCTTTACAAACCCTCACTGCTTGAGGAGGTTGGAAGGGGTGGGGGGTAGCGCTAGGGGGCTCATTTAATGAATTAAAAATATGAGACATAAAATGTTGACATAAATTTAATAGCTTTGAGTATAAGTAACAGTCACAGTTGGGTTACAATAAATCACATTCATACTATAAAGTAAAATGAATAAGGGCACCTGCTTTGAGTATAAGTAACATTCGCAGTTGAGTAAATAAAGGTACCTACTTTGAGTATAAGTAACATTCACAGTTGGGTTACAATAAATCACATTCATACTAAAAAGTAAAATAAATAAAGGTACCTACTTTGAGTATAAGTAACATTCACAGTTGGGTTACAATAAATCACATTCATACTATAAAGTAAAATAAATAAAGGTACCTACTTTGAGTATAAGTAACATTCACAGTTGGGTTACAATAAATCACATTCATACTATAAAGTAACATAAATAAAGGTACCTACTTTGGGTATAAGGGACATTCACAGTTGGGTTACAGTAAGTCACATTCATACTACAAAGTAAAATAAATAAAGGTCCCTTCTTTTACTATAAGGGGCATTTACTGCCCAGTAATTTACAGGAAGATAACTAGTTTAGATAAATAGTAAAGGAACATTGTATGTTGAAAAAATTAATGTTATGAGAATAGACATAGAATGTGGTAGATAAGAGCAATTTTTGGGATACAAATCACATTCATAATAGCTTAGATATATAATAAAGGAACATCATAATGAAACGAACAAAGGGAAAAAATTTAAAACTGAAATACAGAAAAGTCCCTTTCAGACCAAATCAGACTTAGAAAAAAACTAGATCGTAGACTAGATTATTGCTTCTTCTGAATTTCACCGAGGGAAGGCTGCTTGTTCTGAATCTCACCAAGGGGGGGCCTGCGTATGATGATAAACTTCAATCCATCAACAACCTTTGGTTCAGGTGTGGTGAGTGTACTGCTTCCCCTTGACTGGAGTTGAAGTGGCCACAGGATTGGATCTTACAGTTCTATTCTCGTAAGATTTCTGTACTTTAGCTGGAAGGGGCTCAAGTGGCAAATTGTGCGGCTCAACAAGTCTCTTCATAGGTCTCATTGGTGTGGATGAGGGCAGTGACACAGCTGGTGCAGAGGGAGTAGAAACCTTCACAGGAGCATGAGGAATAGGCACAGGTGGGGTCCTTATGGGGGTTGAAGGACCAGACTGGATCCTGACGAATGTTGGTTGAGCAGTGTCCCTCTCAGGTGTTGATGTAGGTAACTGAGCCACCGGTGGCTGAATCCTCATGGACGATGGTTGAGCAGTGGACCTCACCACAGACAATGCAGCAGGTATCTTTGCAGCCGGTTTAGCTAAGAACTTTGACTTCGGTGTTGGAGTGGCTCTAGAACATGATGGCTGAGGTTGCATCACTTGCACAGTTTGTCTAGGAGTATTTTGCAGAGCAGTCCTAACAGGTGTCAGGGTTGACACTGTGGCAGTTGGTTGAGCAGTGAGCCTAACCAATGAAATAGGAATCCTTGGTTGACTCGAGGCACTCACAGCTGTTGATGCAGCTGACTGAGCCACTGAAGCCTGGATCCTCATGAAAGTTGGTTGAGGAGTGGCTTTTGAACATGATGGCTGAGGTTGCATAAACTTCGCAGTTTGTTTAGGAGTCAGATCAGTCCTAGCAGGTGTCAGGGATGACACTTTAGAAGTTGGTTGAGTAGCGGCCCTCACAGCTGTGGATGCAGCGGACTGAGATACTGGTGGCTGGGTCCTCATGAATGTTGGTTGAGATGTAGCTCTAGAACACGATGGCTGAGGTTGCATAAACTTCGCAGTTTGTTTAGGAGTCAGATCAGTCCTAGCAGGTGTCAGGGATGACACTTTAGAAGTTTGTTGAGTAGCGGCCCTCACAGCTGTTGATGCAGCGGACTGAGCTACTGGTGGCTGGATCCTCATGAATGTTGGGTTTAGATGTAGCTCTAGAACATGATGGCATCGACTGCGCAGTTTTGTTTACGGCGTCAATTGAGCAGCAGTCCCAACCGATGTAAGTGTTGATATACTTGATGTCACAGAAGTGGCAGACTGGGGTGCTTGGGGCAATGATGCAGGAATCTGTCAACAAACAAACACGATATCATAAATTGACAAGAAAGTAAAACAAGACGGTACTTCCTTTTGGTTTTTGATAACTTACAGATGGGAACAGCAAGTCAGGTGTATAATTTTCTTCAACAGTATTAGATGGGACCTAACAAACATAGACAAAAAATTAAACTACTGCCAAAGAAAATTTTTAAAAAAAAAAAAGTATCTATGTAAATACGTACTGCTGAGGGATCCAAAACCCACTGCATGTCTATCTCTCGCCCAATTTCAGGTTGAACCTATAAACAGACAAAAACATCAAGTAATTTTTCAGAGAGGTAATTATGTGGAATGTAAATTACCAGAATGTAAAGAGAAAAGTAAAAAGACTATCCATTCGATATTTGAAAACTACATTATGCTCTACCCATGAATAACGTTTCATTTGTGTCCTTATATAAGTAAAATGATATGCTTACATCAAGTTCAGCAGGTGGGATGCCCTCTGCGATTCTGTCTTCAAATGCATTCATTGCATTTGGCCCTTGCTGATACTGAGGGGCATTTTCAGGAGCATGTTGAAGAGGGGGATGTTGAAGAGGAGCTTGTTGAAGAGGAGCTTGTTGCAGAGGGGCATGTTGAAAAGGAGCTTGTTGAAGAGGGGCATGTTGAAGAGGAGCTTGTTGAAGAGGGGCATGTTGAAGAGGGGCATGTTGAAGAGGGGCATGTTGAAGAGGGGCATGTTGAAGAGGGGGATGTTGAAAAGGGTTATTTTGAACGGGAGCAATTTGAACAGGAGCTCCTTGAAGAGGAGCATATGGAATAGGACCATATGGAATAGGAGCATGTTGAAGAGGATGATTTTGAACGGGAGCAATTTGAACAGGAGCATGTGGAAGAGGGGCATGCACATTTTGTAGAGGGGCATTATGAACAGGAATGTTAAACGCCATTGGGTCAACCTGAAAAAGAAATCAAAGAAAATTAAGGGGCAAGGATCATTTAAAAATTAAAGAAAATTAAATTCAAGCTGCCATACATACCTCCAAGGGGAACAACCTGGGTGAACCCAAAAACTCTGGTAAATCCGCCCATGCATGCCAAAACCCTCCTCTCGTAAGATGTCATAAGGAGCATAGGGCTCCCCCCACCAGTGCCTCGCCCAAGAAACTGGTTTATTTGAGCTGCTCTGCTCTTCACAGCTTTTCTTTTATCATTCCAAAACTAAACAAAGAAATCACACTAATAAGTGGTAACTGCAAATGTGACCAATATTACTTAAAAATTTTGAGGACTTCTTACCCTTTGCCATTGATCCGGGGTCTTTCTTGCTCCATTCGGTACATTGTTAAGCATTTCTGATAACAAATTCCACTTCTGACGAAGCTCGAGGAGTCCTTGGGCACCTCGAAACTCACGTTGGCAGAAGGCAGGATTCCTTTTCCCTGTACGATACAAGGAATATCTTTTGCTCCTCTGTTCCGCGCACAGCCTGAGCCATCTGAGGAACAAAAAACAAGAGGTAAAAACACTTTAAACTGAGCTTCTAGCGCACTGCAAACCAAAGGATTTATAAAAAAATATTTTGCCCACAAGCCACTACATGGTGTTCGATGAGGAAATAAGTGCGGAACCTTAAGGGCAAAATTTGCAACATCACACAAACTGACTTTGCAGTGAAGTTTACGAGAACCCATAACCTCTATTTGACAACGTTTCCAAGGAAAATACAAACAGAGCAATTATACTCAATAGAAACGCTTGTTGAAAAGCACTTCTTCAACAGCATAGAACGTTAGAACAGGTTTTCAGTACAATGGAAAGGCAGAAGACTGAGATTCAATCCGGACGAGACTAAGACCAGTACGAACGAGCATACTAAGTCTTTAAAAGGGAAAATCTCACGCTCAATTTTTATTATATCGGATAATCATTTCAACAAGACGCTGCGATTGTAAAAAAATCACGACTACTCGTCAACTTTCTATCACTTCCAATGGCCTAGGCTTGCTTGGCGCTTCACCGCGTCAATACCGCGCGTCGGTGGAGTAGGTTAGGAACCACACGCAACCTTCCTATTTAAGCAGCGCTTAAAATTAATTACAATAAAAGCTTGTCAAAAGTGTCTTGGACAAAATGCACGAAGTTGTAATTATCAAATATGTTCAAGTCCCAAGTCAAAAGACTAGGATGCCGAGATGCGATCGAGATGCGATCCGAACAAAACTTGACGGTTATCCGAAAATACTAAATAATTAAAAGAGTCATCACACACTTACCTTGGAAAGTCTTAATCCGTATTTCGGTATTAATCAAAATCGAATACGCTACACTCGGTTACTTCGCTTCGCTGAAATCTCTCTCCTCTCGCGCCAACGCTACGCTCGTTCCCGCCTTCGCCTGCCGCCTTTTCCACCACCGCCTTGTGTATGTCGGGCGGAGAGTTTCTCCCTCCACGGAGAACTCTCCCGAGAGCTCCCCGATCCCACTCCAGACAGAGTACATAACCTCTTGGTGCTGAGAGGACAGTTCGATTTTACTCTACTTTCAAGTTTGTGAGTATGCTGTGACTGTGAGCATAAAGATTTCTTCTGGCGACACACTGGGCACAACTTCAAAATGATTGACAGGTGCAAGTGATGAAAACTGATCCGTTTGAAATAAAGTTTGTCAACCACAACACACATCTTGACTATTCACCCTCAGTCTCGAGTGCAAATAAGATACCGGAGTGTGAAAAGCAACAAGTAACTTATTTGCACTCGAGACTGAGGGTGAATAGTCAAGATGTGTGTTTGTGTTGACAAACTTATTTCAAACGGATCAGTGTCATCACTTGCACCATGTCAATCATTTTGAAGTTGTGCCCAGTGTGTCGCCAGAAGAAATCTTTATGCTCCCAGTCACAGCATACTCACAAACTTGAAAGTAGAGTAAAATCGAACTGTCCTCTCAGCACCAGGTTATGTACTCTGTCTGTGGGGCCAGGCCTTCAGCATGTCATCAGGAAACATGAAAACCAGCGCCAGCGGTCTGAGACTAAGAAACAAATCATAAACATTAAAACCAACCAGCAGGAACAATTAATGGATAGCACTACAAGGTAAGTGTCTCAAGAGTGAATGCCAGAACTGCGCCGGTGTAAACACTTTTGGAGTGTTTCGGAGTCCTAAAGCCTATAGGACTTGGACCCCACACATCTTTTCATACATTTTGTAATTTTCTTTGAAAGTTTTTTATTGTATGAAGAATGCATGAGGCTTATGTAAGATATAATTGAAATTAAATGAGGCTGGTTTCAGATGATGAATGTGCGCATTCTCCTGTGCTTGTAAAATTGAGCATAGGTTTTCTTTACGCTTGAAATTGAGCGTACTGACTTTACGCTTGAAGCAGGGCGTAAGAATTTCTGACCTGGCTTGAGTGCGCTTGGCTTCAAGCGTAGCTCTTCTTACGCTTGAAGTCAAGCGCAGAAGTACGCTTCAAGATTTTACGCTTGAGGAAAGGCGTAATACTACGCCTTAGTTTTACCAGTGCATCAGTGACATGTTTGAGGGCGTTGTGCAAGGGACATGTCCGTGAACACTTTGCTCTTCATGCATTGAAAGGATTTGACGTATGCCTTATTTCACCAACGGCCCAGCGTTTTTAATTTCATCCTTTCAGGGTCAGAGCGGAGAAGAACCGAACATCTAAGGGATGAATAAAAATCGGACGCCCTATTTTTAGACTGGATTTGCTAATTTTGAGAATGACTAATGCTGTCACGTGTTAGAGTAGGGCTCCAACAACTAGTACGCAGGAAAAACGGTTCCTGCTTCCTGGCGACGACATTGGCGATTCAGATGGGGTCCCTGTGAAAAGCACGAACCGTTTTTCCCATGTACACTCTTCAAAGCCTACGAAGCATTTGCTTCATAACTGCAAAGAAAATGAAGGCATTGTAGAATTGCTTCGCATCATGAAGAAATGCATTCATTTTTTTTGTATTAAAAAGTGTAGAGTATCTTCTGTGTGAAAAGTATATCCTAATAACAGAATGTGACAATTCACGGGTGTGCGATTTTCCTCCGCTCCTGCACGGTTTCGATTCTTCCCTGCCCATACTCTACAGAGGGATAATCCAGGGCTGGGTGGCTGCGCCAGAGAGGAAATAGGGTCATTTGGGGTAATTATGGGACACGGGGTAAAAATGGGACAGCTCATTAGTCAAGATTTGACATTTTTGAACGCATAACATACCAAATGTGATGTATTGAGAAAATCACATTTGCTACGGCACAAGTTCTAAAATCTCGATTCTTGACGAAGAATCAGCTGTCCCATTTTTACCCCGTGTCCCATAATTACCACAACTGGTCCTGCAACAGGAAAAGTAGCGATACAGATCGCTAACTTTGGCACAACCCGTGTGTGACTTCCTGCCCAACTTCTGAGAAAAGCGTCCAACATCGAGCGCGTCCCTTGCCTCTATCTGCAGGCCGATGGCGAGCACTGCTTTCTTCGCTATCTCTCTCGCACCCTTACGGAATGTTCAATGAGTGCGACAGACAGTTCAGAATCAGCTCGCTGTATACGGCCTGGTGTGAAACCATATCTCGAGTGCACGTTGAGTGGCTGACTGACTGGCATACAGTCCGGCTGGCCCAAAGAGTAACTTGTAACGGTGCACTGGTAGAACTAGAGCGTCTACGCTTGGGTCAAACATGAAGTTCTCGAAGACATTACGCTTGAAACGAGGGGTCCAGCACTCTGGTGATCGTGTGTACACTTCGTCCTGTAACCATTGTTAATCACACGCTAAAACTGGCTATTTTCGCTGTTTTTATCGGATTTTCTGGATTTTTTCGGATGAATATAGGCGAAAAATGCTCTTAGCTGGCCAAAATGATTGTGTTTTGAGTATTTGGTAAATCACTGGCAATCAGTAATCCTGTGTACACTCCTGAGCTGAGTGGTGGACCCCTCGGCTTGAAATGAAGCATACACTGGAAATTCTCCCATGCATTTAGATAGGGGGAAACTTGGCGGATGAAACTTGGCGGATGAACCTATTGCGTAAACTGATTACGTTTGAAAACAGAGGATAATACCAAGCTTTGGGTTTACCAGTGTGGTCGCCATTGGGTGGAGCTGGGAGTTTTCTGTCTTCATTGCACTCGTGGTCAGCGCCTCGCTGCGCGTAGGTCCGCTCTCCTCCATTCTGCCTACCACCGTTCAAGTTACTGAATGGAACATCCGGGCAGTAACGATTGATTCTGCTTTGTGATAGCGAGTGAAGAAATCCCCCGTTACGGGACCCGAAGCGAGGGAAGAAGTACACGGTAACACCATCTCCTGGGGATTTCTGGGAATCCCAGCAGATCTTCCTTGGAGGTAGCCGATGTTCTTGTGAATCCCACGAGATAACGTTGAAGCGCGCATGACGTTCGACGTTCGTACAGTCCGCATGGCGGCAAGTGGCTACATTCCAGGTTGCGCATGCTTTCCAATTACACCCAGGTAGCGTACATCTGCATGAACACCGTAGCTCTCCTTTA